ACATCTTAAAAACCCGTTTAATAAAGTCTACTGGGCGAAAGTTACCCTTTAAAAAAAAAAAAAAAAAAAAAAAATATATATATAAAAAATAAAATTAATATTAAGGTATAATATATGTGAATTTTATAATTTTTGATTATATAATTAAGAATAAAATTAAAATTTATAATAAAAATATAATAAATAGACTTAAACTTTTGGAAGCAATCATATAATTTAACTACCTTATTTCAAATTTCTAGTTGAAGAAAGGTCATTACAATTCAAATATCTATAGTATAAAGATATTACTTATAGTGTGCATCCAAATTACTGGAAAATTATTGAGATAAGATCTGTATAAATAAAACTAATCAAATTTAAATAGAAACATGATACCAAACTATAAAGTTAAGAAAAATAGAACTTTAACTAACTTCTTTTAAACCTTTTTTTTTCTGGCTCCTTTTCACGAGCATAGATCAAAGTTGAAATAACTGTCATGACCCTTTCTAAATAGCAAGAACTAATATTATCTTACTGGAAGAATGATATACATACAGCAAAAAAAATTCATACAGCAATCAAAATACCTTCCATGACTATTTATAACAACCTTCAAAAGTTGAAAAAAACTAGTAAAATAATACAGTAAAGTCAAAAAGAGTCCGTTATCCATGAATAATTTCAAGTCAACTTTTACAAAAAATAAAGTGTTATATAAAAAAATTTTTCTCTATTTCTATCTAAATTTTGATAATAAAATTAGGTGGTGTGATCTCTCTGTCAACTATTTTGCAATATTTAAAATCTCTTGATTATGGAAATGATATACCTAAAAAAGTACCAATGTTCACCCTCTAGCAAAAAAAAAAAGATTAAAATAAGCAAAAAAACACAAAAATGACTATTGGATAAATATCTTTTTTTAGACAAAACTATTTTTTAGCTTTTCCAGAATACAGTTGGTCAGTAACACAAGAGTCTATAACTGATCCATTGAATATCTAAAGATAGGTAAAAAATCTTTGTATGGGGTGAATTTTGTAAAAAGTGTAAAACTAATCTTTATTGTTTTAGTGGGATAATGACAACCAAAGTTTATGTCATATTAATATCTTAGAAGAAAATATAGTTGATGTCAAGGCCATACTAGAAAAAAAGTTTCAGTTCCAACATGATAATAACCTGAAACATACGAGCCGATTTGCAAAATCATATTTTGATGAAAATATGTCTGAAGTTCTTGATTGACTATCCAATAGTTTGAACTTGAATTCAATCAAAAACTTATGGAATCAAGTAAAAAAAATGTCAAAAAAAGAATACCACAAAATTTAAGTGAATTAAAATTGTATATGAAGGAAGAATGGAACTTAATTTCAAGTGACACTTTAAATAACTTGATCAAATCAATGAAAAATTACCGTAGAGAGGTAATACAAAAAAGAGGTGATCATATAGATTATTAAAATTTTTAAAAAATAAACTACTGGTTCTTATTTTTAAAACAAGGGCTGACTCATCATAATTGATCCAACGGTTGTCAAGTTTATTAATGACAAACTTTGTCCAATAATTTTGACTCATACTGTATATTTAAATTCTAATGATTACTAAAAATTTATTTATATTAAAATAATAAATTTTTTAAAAATATTAATAAAATTAAATAAATTTGTTTTTTTTTTAAAAAAAAAATAAAAAAAAAAATATAAAGGAATAATTGTTTTTGTATAATTAATTTAATTTTTAAAAAATTTTATTATTAAAAAACAACACCAATTAATTATTTTTTTATTACTTTAAAAAAATTTTTTTATTAACATAATATGTTTATTCATCATATTTTTTAATTATTATAAATTAATAATATAAATTGATTTTATAATAATCAATATATAGTAATTATTCAAATATTATATTTGTTATCTTATTAATTATTATTAATTGATTCTTAATAATAATATTATTGTTGTTGTTGTTTATTGTTTTATTTAAACATTATGAATTTTTTGAACATTGCAAATTTTTTAAATACAAAATTTCAAATATTAAAATAATGATTACTTTAAAAAGATATGTTTAATGAATTTTAGGATTTAATATTAAAAAAGATATTTAAAACTTAAATTTGTCATATCATCATTTTTTAAAAATATTTGAAATTATTTTAATAAACAAATTTCCTTTGAAAAAGAAAATCATTTTTGATTTCAATCTTTATTATTAATCGTATACAGCAAAAGGAAAAGTCTATTAACAGATCGGGTGATACGAAATTATAGCTAATAACCAAATAATGCATACGGGCTATCAGGTGTAATCATTATAACTTGAAGTAACGAAACATATTCATTATATAATCATTATGTTTGAGTAGTATATAAAGGAGGCATAGTCGCTCCGTGTATTTGATTAACTAGGTAATATTGAAAGGAAAAAAAACGTAGACGAATCACGTGACAAAATCAGCGAAGAATCTATCGCGCCGTTAATAAATCGTTACTCAGTGTGTGTAACGAAGCAGCATCACGTTACGCGGCGTATCAGAAGGGTGAGCGACAGACTCGCCACAACAATATCCGAATATCGAAACTTTAAGTGTTCGCCCAATCAAATCCAGCAATGAAAAATTCATCACTTCGGCATTTCAAAACTTCAAGTTTGCATCAAATAATTCTACTATTTGTATGCTCTCTCACAATCGTGGGTTGTGCTCAAGAATTAAAAACCACTGAGGAATTTAGACGAACAGTAAAATCCGCAGCAGTACCGTATCCACATGTATTTGAAGAAGTATACGCGGAAAATGATTTGGACTTCATAGTTGTTGGTGATTGGGGATATCAGGGAAAAGGTGTTGGGAAGAAAAAGGGAGATCAAGTTCATGTTGCTTTTGCCATGGAAAGGATTTCAAAGAATTTTGGAACGCAATTTATAATTAATGTTGGAGGTAAGTGGTGAAAGGGGATCTCATCATTAAGATAAAGATCCGATTTTTACTTTTTTTTTTTTTTTTTTTTTTAGATAGTTTTTATAAAAGTGGTCCGAAGGATCATCAGGGAGTCAAAGGTGTCGACGATATAAAGTGGAAAACAACATGGCTGGATATTTACCGTGGGAGGCTATCGGAGATACCTTGGTACAGCGTTGCAGGAAACCATGATTGGTTTGTATATAAAAAGCTTATTCATTTGTTTTATTTTTTCTTTATTCGTGATATTCTCTTATTGGCCTCTTCAATCACCAGGTATAGCAACATAACGGCTGAAGTTGATTATTTTTGGACAAGAAACCGTAGATTCTTTCTCCCTGCATTATTTTATGTTCGCCACTCCTACTTTGGACCCGAAAAAACAAAGGTCACGTGGATTCACATAGATACAAATGTATTCTATTACGATTACAAATTTTTGGATAACAAGAATTCACTCAAAAGCAATTTATATGACTTTGGAATTAACGAACCGGAGACAGTTGATGATAGGTTGAAATGGATCGAAGAAAAATTAGAAGAGAATCAAGATTCTAAGTGGATTTTTGTTGTCGGTATGCGATCTATATGATCTTCAGCGTTTATTTATTTCTCTGACGCAAGCCTTTGAAAAATGAAACCTTTCAATGCAAGGTCATCACCCGCTAATCGGTTCGTGCGCAACTGTGCATCTCATGTCCCGCCTCCCGGTTCTATTCAAAATATACGGGGTAACTGCCTATTTCTCGGGTCACTCTCACACACTAGAGTATCAATCAGCAAAGCCTTCGTCACCTACTACTTATTTTACCTCGGGATGTGGTAGTAGATTCGGCCCAGGGTGTGCGGGAAGAGATTGGGGAGTACCATTAGGAACTTTTGGATTCTTACACGTGAGAATAAAGGGTAATAGTAGTGAATTGAATTTTGAATACGTGAACGCTACAACTTATAAATCAAAAATTGTGCATCAGGGTACGATTGATGCCATACCCTTTCTGTATCCAAAGAAAACTCACTAAAATGGTGTAAGATATACAATATACAGTATACAATATATATTAGATTCTAAGGCGTTAGATTCATAATGATGTCGATTCATTTTCAAAGGCATTATCCACAACATTATCAATAGAATGAATGACTCTATTACAAGACTACCTTGAATAGTATCGGTCAAATTAATCAATGTCAAAGTTGTAACAAATATTTTGAAGGATTACACCATCATCGTGCTAACGTGTAATCCTTATATTAGATTCATAATACTCATTTGACCTTAGAGTGAAATGTAGTTTAAAAACAAAATTATACATATAATAAACTGAAAAAGTTGGTTATCTTTGATTCTTAATCATGATTATCAAAAAATTATTTTCTGATAACTATAAAGTGGAGGATAATTACAATAACTCTTCGGCTAGTTATTTTATTTATTCTTTAAAATTCATTATTATTATTTTATTCTACCGGAGATTGATTGCACATCTTTTTTTCAACAATGAGTCTGTCTATATCGTGCCAATCTTTACGTTGATTCTAATATCATCTCTAGTATAAAAAAATACTTGTACTGCTGATCACAATAGTTCAAAAAAAGCATCGAACTATTGCATCTTCTGGTCATAGATAATCTTACTTCGTAGCAGCATCATAAAAGAATATCAAGCAGCTGCGTCTCTTTGTTGTAATAACAAAAGGACTTTTATTTTAAAATAGTACTATATACAATACGTATATGCTCTTGTCTTAATCAATAAAAGATAGTAAGGTTTTTTTACTTTTCATTCCATCTGAACTTTTTATCTAACCGACTTTGAAAATTTTGTCCAAAATCTCATAAATAAGCTTTTTTTAAAGTCTTTCTTATAGTTGCTAACTAAACATTCTTGGCTTCAACCTCTGTTTTATTAATTATTTTTAAATTTGACATAATATGCAATATTAAATATTATAAGTTATAATATCCTTTTTTAACATCTATATCTTAAACATCATAAATTTTTATTGATATTATATAATTTATTAATATTTAACATCAAATTATTTATATTTCAGCAGTAATAATCTGTTGGCTATAATATTTTTAATTAAAAAGATATTTATTTAAATTATTGATGAAGCAAAAAACTTTTTTTTTTTTTTTTTTTTTTAACTGGGTGGCTTACACCTTGTTTATTAGATATTGTTGTGAGTATGTACAAATTT